GGTAATGGTACAAATTCATGAGTTTATAGTCTCTACTGAGGGCCAGGGCAGTAGTAGGGGCTGGACTTGTTTCTTTTGGACACAGAGCGCTGGTTGTTTGAGGCGAATTGCAATAGCCTCTGCTGTTTGGAGTAAGCGGTGCTTCGACGATTTTGGTAGTTTGTTAGGTACCCGGTGTATTATGGAGAAGGATTCGTCTACGCTGGCTTTGTGACCGGTTTGCACCAGATGGTCTAATATCGAGCTGTTAATACTTTTAACTACACCTTTACTTAGCCATTGCTCTAGGAATTTGATTTTTCGTGCTCGAGAACATATCCCACTATGGCTAAGTCAAGGTGTAGTTAAAAGTATTAACAGCTCGATATTAGACCATCTGGTGCAAACCGGTCACAAAGCCAGTGTAGAAGAGTCCTTCTCTATAATATACCGGGTACCTAACAAACTACCAAAATCGTCGAAGCACCGCTTACTCCAAACAGCAGAGGCTATTGCGATTCGCCTCAAACAACCAGCGCTCTGTGTCCAAAAGAAACAAGTCCAGCCCCTACTACTGCCCTGGCCCTCAGTAGAGACTATAAACTCATGAATTTGTACCATTACCTTTCCTAATTCTTCTGACATTCAGTTTAATTGATGTTGATGCTGTTCAGCTGTAATTTATCAATATTATTGATTTGATGTTATTTAAACATTAATGTCGTTCATAAGACTAATTCATTCATTCATTATAATGTATATATAATTGTAGAACCTGATGATGAATTTATCGAAAAGAGTTCTCTTTGTTCAGTGTCTATTCTTTTGAAAATTTTAATGGGCATTTTTAATCAATTAAAATAATAATAATATTGATAAAGAAAGAGAGACCAGATTTTGCTGTATAAAATGATATCAATCTGTTTTACAAGTAAAGGGCTAGGAATGGTTACAACAAGTGGATTACATAATGTATAGTTTTAGAAAAATGCTAAGTAATTAAGGAATAAGCGAGTGCTCAAGTTGATTACGTAACATATTGTTAAAGAAAAAGGAAAAACGATTTGGACAACGGTAACTTGTACTTAAAGATGAAGTAGTCAGAAGACGTAATTTGGACAATTACAATTTTTAAAAAGCTTAGGGCGAGGGTGAAGTAAGCAGGTTGATAAATTCATGTAACGATGGCTAAGGTAAGGAAATTGGCTGTACGAATTGTAATTCCGAACACACATATCTCGCTGCTTCAGGTGAAATCCTACGGCTTCATTTGTATGTAGAAGACGAACTTGTAAAGTAAAATTAAGATTAGTTGGATTGCGATAAATCACTTTAAGTTTGACCACGAATTTATATCTTTTAGAGGACCATCGAAAATCAGGGGGAATCATCGTCAGTACGCACCCACTGGGGTTCGAACTCAGGACCTTCTGGTTACAAGGCAAGTCGAATTGGTAGAAGTTAGAATTCATGGACTGGCCATTGAATCGGGTCCCATTGACTGAATGGCATATGAGCTTGCCTTGTAACCAGAGGGTCCTGAGTTCGAACCTGTGTGGTGGGTGCGTACTGCCGATGATTCCCAAACTACGATGAAACAGTTGTCCGGTACTCACTGCCTGGTTTTCAATTGTTCCCTAACTGATATCAATCCGTGGTCAAACTCGTGAAAACAAATCTAGTCCTTACAAACCAACTTTTGAAAATAACTTTAAAGCCTGTATTAACGTCAACTGTGTGCTTGCAGTCTACAAGGTGTGCTAAAACAGAGCTACGAACAGATCTTGTTTGTCCCTTGCTTAACCATGCCAAATGATGTTCGATAATACAATGATGAACCTGCCTAATTCTATGCCCGATGTAGCTGGCTCCGCAGCTACAGGCAAAATTAGGTAGTTTGTCCTTATTTCTCGGACGTAAAATGGGTGCTGCACTGATAGCTCTTTCAACTTCATTCTTCAAGCGCTGTGTTACTATTTCAATGACGTTATCACGGAGGAACTGCAGTTTTATGAACAATAGTCTTGTTTTTGGAGTTGTTAGCCTACTGACTTGTCTTGGTGCTAAATTCATGTTTTTCTCTCAGTGAACTTATCTGGACAACCTTTTTTTTTCTAAGTAATTCTCTAACGATAGTCTTAAGCTCTTCATTGAGGAAGCCGTTTGAACAGATTAACCTAGCTCTATGAACTAGACACTTTACCATGTTCCGTTTATACTTCAAAGGTGCAAAGCTCAGAAAAAGATGAGTATACTGTGACCTGTTGTTGTAGGTTTCCTATTCACATTTCACAAGTTCTCATTAGCTGCAGACAACTACTTCAAATTACAGTGGTTGTACATAAGGGCAGTAACACACTTCGATGTTTGAATGGTGATAGTACAGCAAACATTCAAAATGTAAGTACTACAATTTTTAGTTTAAGTTAGCGTCGTCATATATCCTTCCAAAAGTATAGCAAAGAAAACGACGACAAGGAAACGAACACACCCAATTTGATAAAAAGAAAAATAAACGTGTTTATTTGTCTGCCACTTAATGGAAGATGCACTATTACAAAAGATTAGCAACAGAATGAAAGGAGCAATTGGAAAAGATGCTTCCCACCTGGAGCTAAACTTGTAACACAACTATACAACACCACATGCTCTTTAAGCCAATCTAAACTGGATTAGTACCCTGCTGATGTCAATACCAACTGTGCGTAATAATTTACGTGCACTTGATGGGGTGCATCTACTTTGGAAGGACAGAACAGAAGGGTTTCTATCCGGGTTTTTTAAAGCATATCACAAGAAACTTATGTCTAAAAGGAAGTACATATTCTTAAAGTACAATTACCTACTAGACACACCTTGTGGATACGGGTCATTTCATTGAGATTTCCAAATCCTTCGAAATGCTAAGCATACAACGGACAACAAATTTACTGCGATTTGATGAAGCCATTGCTATTAAACGTTTGAAATCAAACTTATGCACACACAGAAAGAGAGTGTATTGTCAATCTTTCACTCCCTTGGTAACTGTGTTTTGATTATATTGATTAGTCGTCCATATTATTGAATTCTGCTCACTGAGCAAGTTTCCAATCTTAAATGAACTATAACATTCTTGAGTTGCTATATGAACCTACATGCTGCTAACACTGTATATTAGTTTTTTTTTCTGTTTTCTCCCCACCTCTCCTTTTCTGTTTTACAAATCACATAAATTGATGGTTATTCAAAGTAAAAGTTGTAGCGCTTATATTTCGGGTGAGTCGATTTTATAATGTTTTCTTTATTACCATTCAAACATTGAAGTATGATGTTTTTGTCATTTATTAGTTATAACCATTGTAATTTCGAAGGGTTTCTAGCAGCTGATGAGAACCTGTGAAATAAAATGATCATATCATTTTATGCTACAAGTCTGGCCTTTCTTTCTCGATCGAAATTTATTAAGAGGAACCAAGTGTATGAAATAATAATAATAATGATACATTTATTCTGGACGGTGTTCATATAATGTACAGAATTTTCAGCGGAATTTATTCCGTAATATTTTCCTTTCATCCAGGACCCTTAAGTAATAATAATAATAATAATCTACTTTATTCCAAAAAAACAGTACTTATAATACAGAATGGAATTCTCAGCATTTGTCACAATATTGCATCTAATTTACTCAGAAAATAAGTGAAATTAAAATAAAATTAATTACAAGAATTTGTCCACATTTACGGTATAAAATCAAAAATATTCGAAGTGTAATATGAGAATAATAAATATTCATGAAAACTTCCCATTCGAACATTGATAGACAGAAGACTGGTAGTTCAGCGAAGAGTCTCTTGTCCCTGAATTCATTTTCACAGCTGTATAATCGCAAATATTTATGGTTATTTTGTATGTGTGTGTGTGTGCACATTAAATATGTCAAACGAAAATACAATTAGTAAGTTCAGATGGATTGGATATTGATATAAGAGAGTAGTAGCAAAATTGCTACTTTCAGTGAAATTGGTGCGCGTAATTCTCTACGCATACATCTATATGAAAGAACTTTGATGTGGTTGTGTTCTTTGAGCTGGATAGTTAATTTGCGAAGCTTTCAAATACATATACCCCCAAGCCAACCTATCAAATGATAGGGCCCCCAAGGAAAGCACAAAGAAAATCGCCCTACCATCTATAAAGGACATCTCAGAAATCACTGCAAGACTTTTCAAACTTTTAGGAATTGGCGTCGCACACATACTAATAAAATTACTTTACTCAGCTTGCTCTATGTCAACCAAAAGACTCAACAGCAAAAGAAGATAAAACCAACATCATCTACAAAATAAATTGTATCAACTGCGAAAAACACTACATTGGCCAAAGTGGACGTCCCCTTCGTCTTCGTATCCACGAACATAAGCTAGCTGTCAAGAGACATGATATCCACTCCCTCATATCACTACATACAGACAACCACGGACATCAATTCGACTGGGACAACGTTCAAATATTAGACAGAGGAAACAACAAGAATGCTAGAGAATTTTTAGAAGCTTGGCATTCCAATGAATCCCCAGTCAATAGACACATCGAGATTGACAAAATTTATCAACCGATAAGAAGGAAATCTTACACACAAAGCGTCAAAGTTCAAGTCAAAGAAACAATCAGATCCAATACAAGTAGCTTAGAGGGTATGAAAACAACCAATCACGTTCAAGGTCACCGGGAGAGATGATTAATAAGCTCATGGAGAAATCTAAAAGCTCACTTTAACAAATTGAAGTAAGTGCTGAAGATGTTGCCTAGTAGGGTGATGAAAGCTTCGCAAATAAACCATCCAGCTCAGAGAACACGCAACTACATCAAAATCATCCACCTGAGCTACAAATCTTCTCCATCATATCTATATGAAAGTATATATATTGCTTCTTTTCATCACAGCTAATTTATGTTCTTGCATTCGGATTCGAAGGAAATGCTCACTTTGACCGATTTAGTGTTTATCACAGTTCAAGCAATTTACTTTGTATATGGTATTAATTTTATCTTCTTTTTTCTGTTGTGTGGGTCTTTTGGTCTTTGCACAATATTGAATGAAGTGATTATGCTGGTTGATGACTTGTGTGCTATACCTATTTCATCAAATGACCTTAGTACTCTAACCGTTATTTCAGAGATGTTCTTTATATAAATAGTAGAACAAATGACAATAAAAGCTTCGCAACTAAATCAATCAGCTCTGAGAAGACAACCGCTGTAAAACTTCTGTGAAAAATTTTATTTTCATTCAACATTATCAGTAAAAAGGTTTTCTTGAGAAGAACAGTCCTACAGGAGGTCAATGGGGAGCTCGAATAGCTCAGTGATGATGGTAATGTCTCTGACTGAAGGCAGCACTGTGTGACGCGGCTTCGAATCTCAGAAGGGACATGAGTTCCTTCAAGGTGATAGTAGATACGCTTTGCTGACTGACTGGTGAGTGACAACATCCACGAAACCTAGGTCCAGACAGGGACTCCTGCCAATTGCCTCCAACCATCTAATATCATCAGTGCATCGGTGGTATAGCGGTTAAGACGCTCGCCGACCATGCACATGGTTCGGGGTTCGATCCCCGGCCACTGACGCACTCCTTTACCTCGCTAAGCCAGAAATAATGTTGGTGAAGAGGAAAGGTTGGGCATGAGACTAGCAACCCCATCCTGTAAAAATAAACACCATGGCTACAGAAACTTTAAGCCTCTAGCTTGAGGCCCTATGTTCTACTGGGGAACGTGAAGGAAAAAAATGTGATGGCAACCTACCTAGAATGGCGGCCACATTGCAAACCTGACTGATAGAATTCAGTCTGCACCAAAGAAAAGACTATACACATCACACTAGTTTACTGGCTAGTGTCCAATCAAACAACAGTTAATTACTTAAATAGAATATGTGCATTCATAATCGAGATAAATTAACCTGTCTTCAATGTTAAAGTACATTAGAATAGTTCAAATTTTGGTAAATATCATGAGCATACACTCACCGCATGACCTCTTAGTTTTTTGATCAATAACTTTTGACAAACTGATTAACTGATCAATTTGTTCAATAGATATTGATCTTTCTGATGGAGTGAAGAGTAAATTTTAAACTGTACAACTGTCATTCTTATACAGACAAAATCTCAAAGTGTATCGATGTGCTAAAATCTGGCGCTTACACAACTGGACTAATGGGCATGCGGGATAACCACCTAGGGAAGCTAGAAAAGCCTAATTTCAAACCTATTGGTGCATATAGGCTTCAGAATGTGAAGAGATCGACTAGCAAGTATGGGAATGGAGATTCTAACGTTGCTCCACATTACCTTATGGGGATCGCATTTAAATTCATAGGTTCGGAATGTGACCAAGTTAACACAACTACCCTGCTTCGATGTGGACGTCAGAGCAGTATCTCATCTCTCTCATAAATTCTGTAACAGCGACCAATCAATATGGAGAGACTACAGTCGCCTGTTTAATATATCTGTCGAAGTGTCATGCCCAGTATATAAAATGATACCTGAACAAACATACAAACTGATATCAAATATGTCTAAACATTTTCAGAATGTAATCCGATTAATCAGATGGATTTAAAATCGAAGTCAATAGGCATTTAACTCTGTGAAGTGATTTTATTTAACATATGTGTAAAATTTGGTTACTGAGGCACTATGTAATTCCATATTAATTTGTTTATGAGATATATCACACAGTGAGTGAAACAGCATTATTACTTACTTGATGACAAGGTTTCGAACACAATTTTTCGCGGTTCATAATCATATCGTCAATTATAATCACACGACTTCGAAACTTGAGTTTCATAGTTTTCTTTGCTCTCTCCTATTTGTCGTCGTTGGGGTAGTAGAATTTTCTAGATATCTGGGCGAACAGGCGTTGAATCATTCCTATTACACGCATTTTCAGTTGATTCGATAAACAAAGCTTCCGCTGTCATCAATCTCTCCCTACACCCTGTAACATTAGATTATAAAATTGCCATCTTATCCCATCATCCTATTGTATGGTTGTGTGTAATTGCATGCAGTGCTGTAATAGCTGAACTATTCTCTAGATTTCTTATCTTATTCGGTTCAGCTAATCTACATATGCATGTCAAACATGCACAGGATAATGACAACACCAACAATAAGGAATCTAAATCATCAGTAGTACTTCCATACAAAGAAGGAACGTCGGAAACCAAATTACGGAGAATTCTTAACAATACAGGCAGGAATAAACGTGGTATTCATTTACCCACGAACTCAATTGGAAATAAGCTCCGTCGGTTAAAGGATCCTGTCAGTGGAGCCAATTAAACAAAACAACTTAGTTTATCTAACACCCTGCTGCAATGATTGTGAGGTCAAATAAATAGATCCAAGTAGTAGAACAGGATCATTCAGTCTAGTGGAGTGGCACGAAAACCTAGCAAAATCTAGATTAGTTGACCCTGATGAGATAAGGAATCTGGAGAATAGTTCAGCTATTACAGCACTCCATGCAATCACACACACACACACTCAACCATACAATAGGATGATGGGATAAGATGACACTTTTGAAATCTATTGTAACAGGGTGTAGGGAGGGATTGATAATGGAAGTTTTATTTATCGAATCAACTGCAAACACGCGTAGTAGGAATGATTGGAAACCTGTCCACCCAGACATCTGGAAAATTCTACTACCCCAACGAAGACAAATAGGAGAGAACAGAGAGAACTATAGAACGAAAGTTTCTAAGTTGTGTGATTATGTAACGACAGAAGGCAAGAGTCAGGCAACAGATCATTTATTAAGGAAATCAACGCATATTTATATATATTTTCATGTACATTACTATGGATATTTAAGCAAACAAACACAGTCTTCCGATTGGTTGTTTCTCACGTAAAGTTAATCTTTCATCTATTTGTGACTGTTTCTTGAATGTCAAATCCTCTATATGTTAACTGCATCCGCCTACGCAAAGTCTGCTGTGGTCGGTTTTAAAGTCAATCTTTGTTCACATTTTCTCACGACAAATCTTGAGAACGTAAATATTGATGTAAATTACTGTCTACCAATTTGGCTAGTAGACAGCTCTCACCACAATTATAATTGGTGTTATGATTATGAACATTGATAAATTGTGTTCGAATCCTTGTCATCCAGTAAATAATAATACCGTTTCACTCACTGTGTGATATACCTCATAAACAAATGAATATGACTTTGTTTCAATTATTCACC